CTCATTCAAGAAAAAATAGTAAATTATCCATTTCATAACATGCTCAGTCAAAGACAGGTCTCAATTTTGACAAGAAATGCTCCTGAATCATTAGGATGGGTTAATCCTATCCGTAGGTCGTGTTTTACAATCGTATCCATGAGATGTGGGGAACTCTGTGCCACCTCTTTCTAAATAGGAAATTTACTTGTTAATCCAATCATACACTTTGCATAACGGTCTGTTAAAATGAATTTTTGAGAAAACTGAAAATTTCAAAGAGATCTTCGTATTAGAAGTATTCTTAAATGTGAAGAATACAACCCCGGGGGTAGAAAATGACCCCAGGGCGTACAGATACGTTAATCTGTGATGAAACCAAGTACATTTTTTGCTTCTCCTATCAAATTTACAGTCTTATCGTGAGGGCGAAAAACTTGTCAAACCCCCTGCCAACAAAATGTGATTAATATTAAAACTGTATTTCTACTTCGACAGCAGGTTGTTCGGTTTTGGGAGAAAAAAAATTATAAAAATTATTTTTCCACAAGATAATCTCTCACAGGAAAAGTAGCCTTCAGAAGAAAATGCCCACAGTTGGTAGGAAGAAAAAGAACCAGAAAAAGTTACAGATCACGAACAGTGAAGTATCCAGCTGTTTTCTCCCATTTCTTAACCCTATCCGTACGCCCTGGGGTTATTTTGTACCCCCCAGAGTTGTATTCTTCACATTCTAGAATACATCAAGTACAAAGATCTCTTTGAAACTTTCAGTATTTCTCAAAAAATCATTTTGACAGACTGCTATTCCATGGATCGGAGTAACGAGTAAATTTCTTCTTTGGAAAGTGGTGGTTCCCCACGCTGTATTGATATGACAGTAAAACACGACATACAGCACAGACTAAAGAGGAGCTTCGGATATAAGGATGTCATAATAAACATTTGTAAAGAAAAAAATAAAGAAACATTATACTAAAATAAAATTCATTAAAAAATTTATCAGCCTTTAGTCGTAATATTAGTTTTTTAACCAGTTCAAGAGATATTACAAAACGACAAGAGAATCTTTTTATGAATTTAACGTAAAATGACGTCATATAATCAAACAGGCCAGCAGTTAACCGCAACTCAGAAATACCAAACTGATCCTTACCGTCCACGGTGAGACTCCAGAGCGCCATGCAGGCCACAGCGTTGAGCGTCGCGTGGTAGGAGGCATGTCTCATGGCCACAACGATGTCGTGGATTCCCCCGAGCTGGACGATGGATCTCGCTGCCCGCTCTGGGCACGACATGCAACAGAAAAGTTCATAGTTTTAGTTTTAGCAAGAGTTTTACGGCACTTGCAACACAATAAGGTCATACAAGTGCCGAAGATTAGAGGTGTTACAAGAAAGTAACAAACACAAAAAAGAAGGAGGGGAGATAAAGACGATAGACATTCGGTAGGAAAGAAGAAGCATACCACACCAGGGCACCCGTCAACCACCCAAGAAAAGTTTATGAGGCACCAACTCTGAGCTTAGAGCAAGTACTGCTGGCCATGGGGTGGTTAGCAAAACAAAAGGTGGACTGAGAGTGACATGAAATATTGTTTTAGTTTTAGTAAGGTTTTACGGCGCTCGCAACTGCATAAGGTCATATGAGCCCCAAGGGGTGGATGTCAACAGAGAAGTCCATACGAGGAATCAAGCTTACTCTGCTCACCTCTCTAGCCCCAACAGCACAAAGTCTGCTTCGATTAACAAGGCACTCCGGAAATAGCCGTTTTCAAGAGAGTGACAAACATACAAAAGAAGTAGAGGAAAATGACGATAGTAAGGATGAGGAAAGAAAAAGCAGCAGTTCCCCCTATGTTGTTCCGGCACAGTATGAGCATGACATTGACAAATCATCCCATTTACAATTCTACTGTGCATGAGAACATAAATATGCCCCCTTTGGGAAGGGTCTAAAGACAACTTCAGTCAGTAGCACTGCCATGGTGGTGGGGGATGAATTATTTAATCTTAACAAAGACCAACAAATACAACTTATCCACTCATACCAAACACGGTTAGTCCAAAAACAACGGCAAACCGAAAGTTTTATTTTTTAAAATAAACCAATGTACAAAAGTTCTTAAAATGCACAGAAAATTGAGGTAGCCAACCCAGTACCTCCTACTAATACTGAGGGTAATTTACCATTTACAAAAAAAAGAATACGTTTTATTCAAATATCTAGATTCTAGACATAATGTTTCACATGATCGTCGGTCGTGACAAGTTGGAAAATAATAAGCTGGGGGTATGGAATAAGGAGGGGGGGGGGAACGCTTGTTGTTATTGTTGTTTTCAAATCCCTTTAGCTGCGAGCATTTGTGAGGCAGCGTGGTGGAATCAGGCTCTCGTCAAAATAATCAAATTGAAGAAACTTGCATTTTCCCTCAGGTTTATGAATTATCAAATTTTTGTTTTTTGTCTCAACACCTTTCATGCCCATTAAAGAACTCATTTATGTGAAATTTTTCTGAAAAACGTTGATTAAAGGCACAAAAAAATGTAAATTTCCATTTACCACGGACTCTTAAGCTAAGGAAATAACTAATCTTTGGCTGCCATTTTCTCACTAATTTTACCTCTGAAAACAGGTGACCTCCACCTCCTTCTTTCGCAAATAGGGGGGGAGGGGGGGAACGCTTAATCGATACCTCAGAGTAGGAGAACAAAAAAAAAAGTGGCCACAATAACTCACCATCTGCTGACAAGGCCAGGATCAAGTTAACAGCGGCGAGCTGAACCTCTGGCTCGTACTCGTGGGTCTGAAAGACAAACACAAAGCTTTGTGTAAGTGGTTGCAGTTCTGAGCTACATAATTGCTGCCTCTGAGTGCTTACTCCTTTTGTTTTAGTAAGGTTTTATGGCGCTCTCAACACAATAAGGTTATATGAGCGCCAGAAGATTAGAGGTGTTACAAGAGAATAACAAACACAAAATAGAAGGAGGGGAGATAAAAACAATAACAATTTTTTTAGGAAAGAAGGAGCAAGCCACACCATAGCACCCACCAACCACACACAGAGTGCTTACTCAAACGTCAACATTTTAGATGAATGTATGTGAAACAGCGTGGTGAGATCAGGCTCTCAACAAAATAATGAAATTGAAGAAAAGCATTTTACTGTCAGTTTGGCAATTTTTAAAATGTTTTTGTTTTTGGCTTAACACCACTGTTGTCAAATGAAAAACACATTTGTGGTTAGATTTTACTGAAAACCGTTGATTAAAAGCATAAAAAATGAGCATTATCAGTTTCCACACACTATCAAGCTATGGAAGTAACCAAACTTAGGAGCCTTGTTCTCGCTAATTATACCTTTGAAACCAGGCGACCCAATCTTCTTCAATCTAAAAAATCTTGGCTTCTGTTCAAGACAGATGAGTATTTTTTTCCATGATAAGAAGACAATTGAACAAGTTTTAAGATGATACAAATAACTTCACACGCCCAAAAATTGACGAGCGCCTGATTCCACCACATCGTGACATGTTGAAAACTATTCACAGATTTCATGTATCTCTTTATGCTGTTTTAAACATTTAGAATTTGAATTTTAACAGAATATTCTTTGAACACATGCAATTGACACCAAGGGAAAAACACAAACAAACAAACAAACAAACAAACAAACAAAACTTACTGCCATGATTTTGTGGATGATTGTGATAACTTCAGGTGTAAACAAGATGTCTTCTGGGGGAGCTGAAATTGTTGAGGAAAAGAAGGTAGGAACATTTTCATACAGGTGTGGATACGAGATATTCTCTCTTCAATAATCTAATCAAATAAACTTTACAAGTGAAATGCAAATGAACACTTTCCATGCAAATTAACACTTGTATTTTTCAAATTTTGAGCATCAATTAAAATAACAATTGCTACTCTTTTTGTTCAAGAGACCTTCTTGGTCCAATGAAAAGATTAGTTCCCTAAAATATGAACATAGTTTGAGATGATTATTTGCATAGCTCATCTTAAGATGACACGGACTGTTATATCATTGTGTACCCTAAAAGCAGAAAGAGAATCAAATTTGTCGGTGTCAAGAGAAAATAATGAACAGACCATAATACCCGCACAGTAACTGTCCAACAGATGCTTGTTTGTTGGAGGAAAAGAAAAAGTGAATTAATTAAAATTAAAGCAAAACTGAGGCAAACAATGAAAAGAAAAAGGAATATCACCGACTAAAACTTTTTTTAAATGGTGAAATGGTACGGGTTTAACGCTCCTATCAACACTATTAGGTTATTTAAGGGGCGGTTTTTTAACGTCCGTCTCCAATAGGACCGCGCCAAGTGGGAAGTTCGTGTAAAGTGCCTTTCCCAAGGACACAACGTCGGACCGAGCTGAGGCTCGAACCCCCGAACCCGCAATCTCATGATTACGAGTCCGGTAGCCTAACCACTAGGCTACCGACGCCACCTAAAACTTCAGAAGAATGGAAAAGAAACAGAACCCAGCAGGCACAACTTATAAAGTAGCACAAAATTTACGCATGAAACACAATCTTTAAAATAAAGGCGCTAAACACAATCTTTAAAAAAAAGGCGCTAAACACAATCTTTAAAATAAAGGCGCTAAACACAATCTTTAAAAGAAAGGCGCTAAACACAATCTTTAAAATAAAGGCGCTAAACACAATTTTTTTTAAAAGGCGCTAAACACAATTTCTTTAAAAAAGGCGCCCTATTAAAAAACTGACCGAAAACAACGAGGTTACTCAGCACATAGCAGCCAGCGATCTGCACGTCTTTGTGGAAGATGTTGTCCCACATGGCCAGCGAGATGAGGTTCCTGGCTTTCTGATCGATGTGCTCATGAGCGTCCTCCTTATCTCGCACAATCTCCGCCAGGGCAGCCAGTCCGTCTGCGACGTAGTTCTCGTGGTCGATGGTGTCGGCGATGTACTCCAGCACCCGGTACGGGTCGTCGCGACCTTCTGTCAGAGCATCTGGAGAACAAATACAACATACAAGTAATGTTACCACCCCCAAAAAATGAACTCCTCAAACCCCATCGGATGCAGGGAGCATCCAGCGGTAAAAACCCTGTAAGGCTGGTAGGGTCTGATACTAGTGACAACTGTTTTGTTTCATTTAGTTTTAGTTTTTTTTATTGTTTTTTGGAATTATTCCCAATCCAAGTTTTTCAGCTATGACTAAGCCTTTGTTTCCGCAATTTAGAAGTTTGAGGTAAGGTTTTGGGGTTTTAATGAGACATAGTGCACCAGGTTTAGGTGACTAGAAAAAACTCCGGGAAACATTGAAAAAACTCAGGGTTTAAAGAGTTAAGGTGTTACTCTCAAGATAAAATCTCTTGACTTCAAGTTTTAAAAAAAAAGAAGTTTTGGACTTTTTGAATACACAAAGACTTTCAGTATATTACCATTCACATAATCATTACTTAACATATTCTTTGACAGTATACACCATTCACATAACAATGACTTCACGTATCCAGGCGCAGTATATCCCATTTTCTGTAATCCCATAAAACCTACCAAAAACTAATGGAAATGATTCAACAACACACAAACTAACCAGTAGTCAAAATTAATAACCAGTAGTCAAAATTAAATGATTTGAAAAAAAAAACCCCAAATCTAACGACATCAATAGGATATTAACAAGTATTCGACCAAGTAAAAGAGGACATTTTGTCACAAGCGGAGAGCTAGAGAACGACAACTAAAAACCATTGGCCGTTATTTATAGTATTAGTAACAGCCATCTTGTTTGACCTCCCAAGGGGGATGCCCGTCGTGTCATCTGATTTTGATTCTAAAAATAGTACCGTCTTGCAGTCGTGTTGTGACCGTGACTGACAAAGTGGGAATCTCTCAACGACGTCAAACAAGATGGCTGTTACTATAAATATTGGCTAATAGCGTTTACTCGTCGTTCTCTAGCTATCCGCTTGTCATTTTGTCATAGGACACAAAATCCTTACACTGTTTGGTAGATCCCGTCTCCTCCTGGCGAGACCGCTTGTCCAGCTGCGAGCTGGCCGTCTGTGCCATGCACTCCTGGATGAACCCCATCCTGCTCAACTCACTGGGGAGACAAGTTTGTTTTATATTTTTGAGTTTGTGTAAAGAAAAGATAAGATAAGATAATACTTTATTATCCCAGAGGAAAATTTTTATTGGCTGTACAGGACTGTAAAAACACATGTAGGTACACAAAGAATTTTTTCAATTTTTCTATTTTTTTTAGTAGAGAGTTTTACGGCGCTCGCAACTAAAAATTTTTAAATTATATTTCACTCTCACTAAAATTCAATATGAAAAGAGAAGTAAAGCTGATAAAAAGTACATATCACATTAGATGCATCATTTAACCACATGCAGGAATTTAATTACAACACCTTTGGACTTATATAGTATAGATACATACTTGAAAGAGCAAAACACATTGATGCTTATTCTAACAATAGCCTTACGCTAGATGGTAAAAAATTCTTTTATATCTTTCTTTGTTTTTAGAGGTACATATATGCCGCTGCGTGATCTTACAATTTGTATGGAAAGGGGGTGTGATGGGTCGTTTATAATGCGTTTTATCTTTTTTATACGTGTGGTGTTATACATTTCATCAATAAAGAGAACCACATCGCCACAATAACAGTCATAAAGTGCTGGGAAGAAGCAAGACAGGCCTGGCACAGCTTCATATAAACTAACACACCCAAAATACAAATACATTGGAGTCCCCTTTGACCAAACGTGATTAATTTGAAAACACTAGTAAATCTGAAAAAAAATTAGAAATCTCCAAATTTGTTTTCCTTCCATTTGAGAAACCCCTGTAAACCGGAAACCCTGCTAAACCAAAAAAAAACCCCAGCATTCCACAGATTCGGTTTAAGGGAGTACTCCACTGTATTTTAATTAGCCTTAGCACATACAGGTTAGCCTTCTCTTTAAACAATTTAATTCTACAATATCCCTACTTAAACAGCAATCAAGTGTATATTTAAGGTAAGATAAGATAAGATAATACTTTATTGCAGCGTAATAGAAAAAAAAAGAAAAATTAAACACAATTTCTGTGTACTCTGACAGCTCATTTCACGTTTTAGAAATATTTGAAACATACAACAGAAAAGTGAATTCTTTAAAATTTTCCTTTCCTTATTACATTACTCAATAATCTGTAAACCCGTAATCTGCTGACAACCTCTGTGGAAACAGTCACACTGTCCAAGACAGCCACCCATAGTTGAGGAGAAAAGTGGTTGTCTTAGACAGGTGGCAGTTTTGGGACAGTGTCATTATAACATTTGTGAGGCAGTGTGGTGAAATCAGGCACTCGTCAAAATAATCAAATTGAAGAAACGCATTTTTCTGCAAGTATGGTATTTTTTAACGAACTTTTGTTTTTTGGCTTAACACCATTGTTGTCGAATTAAGAACTCATTTCTGGGTGGATTTTATGGAAAAATGTTGATTAAAGCCACAAAATATGTAAGTCTTCAGTTTCCATGGACTATCAAGCTATGGAAATAACCAAAATTTGGTGGCCATTTTCTCGCTAATTCTCCCTTAGAAACCAGGCGACCCCACCTTCTTCAATCTCAAATATCTTGACTTCTATTCAAGATAGATGGGCATTTTTTTTCACCGATAGCAAGACAACTGAACAAGCTTTAAGATGATACCAATAACTCCACAAGCCCAAAAATAGACAAGCGCCTGATTCCACCATGATGTGACACATTTTTTTTTTACGCAAGGAATGAAGCGGGAAGTGGTTGTTTGTACGGGTGATTGTCTGGGACTAGTGGCCATAACTGTGGGAAAGAACAAGCCAAAGGCCAGTAAAGGAAGACAAACAGGTGAAGAAATGGGAATGGATTGGACACACCCTGAGAAGACCCCCGACAAGCATCATCAGACAGGCTTTAACATGGAACCCACAAAGAAAACGTAAGAAGGGAAGACCAAAGATGACATGGAGTCGAGCGGTACAAGCGGAAATTGGAAAAGCAGGGACATCATGGAAACAGATAGAAAAGGATGCTCAGGACAGGCTTCTCTGGAGTAATGCTGTTGATGGCCTGTGCTCCACTGGGAGTTAAAAAGGGCAAGAGAGAGAGAGAGAGAGAGAGAGAGAGAGAGAGAGAGAGAGAGAGAGAGAAAGAGAGAGAGAGAGAGAGAGAGAGAGAAAGAGAGAGAGAGTGGCCATTAGAGCAGGTTCGACAGTAGTTACACCAAAGATCAAGCATAACAAGATAGTTCACTCAGCCAAAAAAAAGTGTCCGCGGAAGTCCGCGCATTTGTTCAGATGGCGCTGCAGTCTGTGCGTTGAAGCTCTCTTTTGTTTCTCCAGAAGAAGAATAGGAACAGCACAGTTTGTTAGTTTCACTTTTATTGTTTTGCACACAAATAGGGTAACTCTGATTGATCGTAAAGTCCGCTCTTTTAACAAGAGGGCGCCACCTGATTTTGAGGACACTTTTTTAATTGGCTCAAAGAGAGGAGTGTACTCTCTAGTTAGACACGATCTTTGGTTATAAGGAGGACTTTTTACTCACAAAGTGTTGGGCCGTGTGACAGGAGATGGGCGCAGAAGTGTCTGCACTGTGGTGATCATGGACTTGGAGTAGTGCTGGGAACACAACAGAAGTACAGTTTATGATTATCATCATCATCATCATCATCCTCTTCCATCACTATCGTCAACCTCATCCTTCATCATCATTATTATCAGCAATATCCTCCTCATTCCCATCCATCATCATTATTATTATTATCATCACCATCCTCCTCATTTCCATCCATCATCATTATTATTATTATCATCACCATCCTCCTCATTTCCATCCATCATCATTATTATTATTATCATCACTAACCTCCTCATTCCCATCCATCATCATCATTATTATTATTATCATCACCATCCATCATCATCATTATTATTATCATCCCCATCCATCATCATCATTATTATCATCACCATCCTCCTCATCATCACCTATTTCCAAACAATTTTCCTGATTCTTATTAGTTTGTGGGTTGTTTCACTTGATTGAAACAAAACATGTACTACCAGGCCCACATCTATTACCTATTTGTGGTGGCCGAATTTTGCTATTCAAAAGGCTTTTTAATGGCTGCATCGATCGACATGCGGTTTTCGCCAAAAAATTCTTTAAAATATTCTCCACATCATGACGCCTTTTGTTTTTCCAGTTTTGATACAGTTTTGCTGCAAAAAGCTAAATTTCTTTATTTAGCCGATCGCTTTTGTAGGCCGACGCTTCTGTCTCTGTAATTTTAGAAAATCGGGTGAGGAAGTGGTATTTCGCGAGGCACATTTTGTTTTGAGAGTATAGATCTAGATCTAGACCTTCTTAGGCCGATGACTTTCAGTTGATGTTAATGCACCGATCATTCCTTTCATCGAAAGGGGGCCCAGCTAGTATTTTCTATGTAGCACTACATTGGGATAACCGACTGAAAAAAAATCCCACCCTTGTATTCTTCTTCTAGATAGCATAAGTTACTTCTGCAAAAGAGGCAGTAACTACAAAGTTAAGGCCAACAACCTTGATAAGATTATCCATTTTCCACACCAGGAGGAGATCAGATAGGATTTTATTGATCTCCACAGGGAAAAATTTTCTGTGGAATGGTGAATACATACACACACATCAACACACTAAAGGGTTGTAAGAGTTGGGGAGGGGGGGGGCAAGGAGAGGGGGGGCAGCGCGCAACATGTGTGACTGATGCATGCTACAGCAAAAAACAGAGAAATAGAGAGAAAGCGGGAGGAAGAGGAGGAGAGAGGAGTAACAGGAAGGAATGGAAGCACAGAAAGACTGCTCAGGGTAAAGGCACAAACTAGGGGCAAAGAGGAAGGGGGGAGGGGGGGGGCAAGGAGAAAGAGGTGCATCCGCAACATGTGTGACTGATGCATGTTACAGCAAACAACATACATGTATGACTGATGCATGTTACAGCAAA